AAGATGAACTTCTGAGACTAAGAGGTGCTGTTCTCATTTCAGTTAAGGGAATACTACCACACTCACTGGGCAAGGGAGAAAGAACAATCTCACAGGGGAAACGGGAGTGGGGGTGTCTTTGATCCTGAAGTTCTTTCATTGGAAGACAAGATCCCAGGCTAGTACTGGAAATGGCAGAAAAGTCAGTGAGTTTAGATTCCTTCCCAGTGATGCTAAACTTCTTATTCATGTGTAGAGACAGATGGTTCATTTTGTATATTTTGGCTAGAAAAATCAAGGTCTTATCTTCAAACACACCTGACTCTTATTGGTGTGTATTCTAGGTATTTCCAGGCCAGAAGACTCTTTCTCACATTTGGTCAGACAGCCACAGTTGTTCAGAAACTAACATGAGCCCCACAGTTCATTCTGCAATTAAATACACAGGCATAGCAGAAGTGGCAAACTCATATTAAAGAATACAAAGGTAGCTCAGAGAAGCCCATCTCTTCAAAACTCTGCTGAAAGTTGGGAGGGAACTGAGAATAAAGTAGATTGCAATTGAAATGCTTCAGATAAGTTGAGCCAACTATTGAAGGATGAGTGGGTTCCCCAGGCAGTCTAAGTGTGCAAAAGGATTCTACTTCAAGACAGCAGCAGAGACAGACACCAAGACAGAAGACAGACCTGGAGCAGACCAGTGGGTTCTCTAGGATTTCAGAACTTGGGTTTGAAGAAGATGAGAGGAGACCCTGCTGCCAATGATCATCAGGCTCACATCATAACATCTTTGTGTGGGATACTACAGAGTATGGGCTTCATCTCATGGGCAGCAGGGAGCACAGTGGGACAGTATTTTTATTAGAAAGACATCACTAGAAGCAGAATGGAGGACAGGCTGGCAAATGTGCAATACTGAATCCCAGTGGCTAGGTAAGAGGCTACTACTGTGGGAGTCAAGCAAGAGATGAAGACAGCTTGAACCAAGGCAGAGATAAGAAGAGAGAGGAAGGTTCAAAGAGGAATGAGACTCTGTTCAGAGTCTCAAAGACAGGACCCTTCTTAAAAACTATACAAATGAGTCATCATATGCCCCAAAAGAAGTAGGTGGGATGACAGCAAAACACTCAGATACTACTAGGTTCAAACCTGGGCTTTGTTCTTTACTAGTTATCCAACCTTGGGCGATTTACTTAACCCCTCTGAGTCTCACACTGATCATATGCAAATCACCAGCTGTGCTCCCACCTCTTATAGAATTGTCAGGAGAAACAGGGATAAAAAATACAAAGCTCTAGCTTAGTGACCAACACATAATGGGGGGAAGCTCAAAGAAAAAAAAAAAGGTCTAAGAAATAGACCACTAAGATTCACATATACACTTACTTTCTTTGTGCTTCTAAACAAAGATATAAACATGTCTATATGAGGTTAACAATTTATTTCTGAGGCCCAGAAAGCCCTTATTTAGCTCTTCTATTAGTAGAGCCAAAGGGAGTAATTTAGAAGGATTTGTATCAAATGTTCAAATGTCTGTTTGGTTCAATTAGCATGTACTGAACACCCTCCAGTGGGGATGTTTGGCTTATACTAGAAATCCTGGGTGTTGCACAATCAACTTCCATTCATCAGCTCTACAGATGATCTAATGATGCCTGAATGGTTTCTATGGCATCAACATCACAGAATTTCTCTGACGTTAGTCTCCAATTGCCTATGCAGAAGAGGAAACGTATTCAATGGCTTGTTCCCTTGACACACACACACACACACACACACACACACACACACACACTTACTTCCCAAGCTATCATGCATCCTAATTCCAAAACACTCTATTTTCCAAGTTTCCTCTAAATGGCGGCAGCTATGGCAGCAGCTAGCTTCTTTCTGCCTCTTTTCCTTGCTAGTGATGCTCATTTTTCTAGGAATAACTTTCATTCTCCTTCAAAATACCAATTGAAAGCCCATTCCTCTTTTAAGGTCCATGATGAAACATAACCCCTCAGGAAGTATTTCATGACTATAAAACTAGTAGATGGAAAAACAAAATCCAGGCCGGGCGCGGTGCCTCACGCCTGTAATCCCAGCACTTTGGGAGGCCGAGGCGAGTGGATCATGAGGTCAAGAGATCAAGACCATCCTGGCCAACATGGTGAAACCCTGTCTCTAATAAAAATGCAACAAATTAGCCAGACGTGGTGGCACATGACTGTAATCCCAGCTTCTTGAGAGGCTGAGACAGGAGAATCGCTTGAACCCAGGAGGCGGAGGTTGCGGTGAGCCGAGAATGCGCCATTGCACTCCAGCATGGGCAACAAGAGCGAAACTCCGTCTCAAAAATAAATAAATAAATAAATAATAATTTTAAAAAAACCCAAAATCCAAATGCGGGTGTAGTGGTGTGTGTCTGTAGTCACTGCTCCTCAGGAGGCTGAGGCAGGAGGATCTCATGAGCCCTAAAGACCAGCCTCCGCAGCACAGTGAGATCCTCATCCTTTAAAAACAAACAAACAACAACAACAACAAAACAAAAAACAAAATCCACACCCTCTGTAGGCTGTGATTCTCAGTGCCTGACCTCTGAAAGCTGCTCTGTAAATATTGGTTGACTAAATGGAATTTACTTTAACACAAATCACGGATGCGAAAAGAAATCCCTCATGGGACGTGATAGAATACTGGCAAGAGGTAGCATGGTACCTCACATAGTTTTATAAAATTAAAATATTATCAGAATTTAAAATATAACATTTAGCAACATGTATACAGCTAGAGGTCATTATCCTAAGCAAATTAATGCAAAGACAAAAAATCAAATACCACATAGTCTCACTTACAAATAGGAGCTACACATTGGGTACACATGGACATAAAGATGAAAACGATAGATACTGGGGTCTAATAAAAGAGGGAGGAAAGGATGGGGCAAGGGTTAAAAACCTATCTACAGGGTACTCTACTGAGTACCTGGGTGACGAGACCATTTGTATCCCAAACCTTGGCATCACGCAATATACCCATGTGAACACTTGCACATATAACCCTAAATCCAAAATAAATATTTTAAAATGTGATATTTTAAGATATAAAGTAGAGATAACATAGTAACAAAATCTGTTTAGAAAAAGTACACCTATTATAAAACTAAATGAAGGTAGAAGAGCAAAATATATTCAATTTAAAACAATATTTATGGAGTACTTCCTTTAAAAGTATTTACCTCAACATTGTAAACTATTATACCTAGCAAAACAAAACAAAACAAAAAAAATGAAAACAAAAACAAAAAAACCCAAAAAACCCCTGCTACGATATATATCCTTTGAGCACTGCTTTCCTCATCTGTAAAACTGAGATATAAAACCTGATAATACCTAGAAACCCACGGTTTTTGTGATAATTAAATTAGAAAATGTCCATATATCACTGAGACATTGTAGGTGTTTAATAAAAATTTACTGATGATTGCACTCAGTAATAGCTCCCGCAATCTTTTTAAATTTTTTTGAGATAAGGTCTCACTCTGTTGCCCAGGCTGGAGTGCAGTGGTGCAATCACGGCTCAGTGCACCAGCCTCATGGAGTCAAACAATCCTCCCACCTCAGCCTCCCGAGTAGCTGAGACTACAGGCACACACCACTACCATGCCTGGCTAATTCTTTATTTTTTGTAGAGACAGGGTCCTACTATGTTGCCCAGGCTGGTCTCAAACTCCTGGGCTCAAGGAATTCTCCTACCTTGGTCTCCCAAAGTATGGGATTACAGGCATGAGCTACTGCACCCAGCCCCTCCTGTACTCTTTGTACTGTTGCAGGGAGCACAAGCGGAGAGCTGATGGTGATGGCAGGGAGAGTGGTTTATTCTGGGACATCAATGAATCATTTTCTCCTTTCTCATATGACTATTCATTTAAATGAAACTAGCTCCCTCTCTTCATGCTTAGAGGATATATTACTAACATTGCTGCTTTAATTCTGTTATTCCATCTCTCCAATTCATTGCATAAAAAGGAGATATTTATTTGCTCAAATCAGTGTTTGAACAAAAATGTGAAGTAGAGAATTAAAAATGAACATAACCAGTTACTTTTTTCTTTTCTTCTTTCTTTAGGATTACAGTGCGCTAAGGACGTGGTACTGAGAGCAGTCCAGGTGATGGAAAGATGGGAAAAAATAGTTGCTAATATTTGATTAAATTGATCTTCCACACTGGAAAGCTATGTGACACTCCATTTCATTTCTTTTTCTACAGATTCAGCAAGCTGGTTGTTGAGTAAATAATAAAAACAACTGGGTATGGTTCTTGTCAGTTTCGTTTGAAGGTTTAGGCTTCCTGGATAACAGTGAAACCCTACGTGTTCTTAAACTACAAAGCGGGCTGTTAGTGAATTTAAGCAGAATTTTCATTGCAGTAAGTCTTGTCAAGAAGTTGTTTCAAAGACATTTAGTCAAAGGTGCATAGAGTTTCTAATTAAGAATATTAAGCAAAAGCCACAGAGTATTTTCCCCTTCAGAAAAAAACAATTCAGGTTGGGTGCAGTGGCTCATGTGTGTAATCCTAGCATTTTGGGAGGCTGAGGCGGTCAGATCATGAGGTCAGGAGTTTGAGACCAGCCTGGCCAACATGGTGAAATGCTGTCTCTACTGAAAATTCAAAAATTAGCCGGGTGTGGTGGTACATGCCTATAATCCTAGCTACTCAGGAGGCTGAGGCAGGAGAATTGCTTGAACCCAGGAGGTGGAGGTTGCAGTGATCCGAGATTGCACCACTGCAATTCAGCCTGGGTGACAGGGCAAGACTCCATCTCAAAAAAAAAAAAAACAAAAAAACCAGGAATTCAAATATGGCTCAAATCTAGAGTCTAAGCCAGCAGGTAACAATGTTCCTTTAAAGCCACCTCTAGCATAACAATGAGCCCATCAGTCATTTGCTCTAGAAAACTTAAGAAAAAGAGATAACACGAGGCATCTGGCTGGGGTGCAAATGTGTCACATTCTTCAATGCTCAGTAAGCACTACCTGTTATTTGCTTTTTAGTCTCCAAGTCTCTGGTTTGCTTCAGCACCTGGAGCAGCCGAGGTACCCCATTTAGTTCAGCCACCTCCAATTTGTTGTCATTGTCTTCAAATACTAAGTTTCTCAAGGCCCCACATGCAGCTCGCTGAACATCTTCATTCTGAACTTTCAGGAGCTGCAGAAGCTTGGGGATGCCACGAAGCTGGTTAACCTAAGGAAGAAGTAGATGTATATTTCTAATATTAATTTTGATGTGACATCAAGATCAATGTAACAGATTGAACAGAGGAAGTTTTAGAAGTTAAACCATCAATTTGTAACAGTGAACAGATGAAGTTCACTGATGCTGATTATAACCTTTCTTTATCAATAACTATGTGTAGCACAACTGAGACCCTTGTTGTAGAACATACGCCAGCTATAAGGCAGTATCTGTTATCAAGGAACTTATAGTAAATTTGGGAAGTTAAGACTGAAACCTATGAAATAAGTGAAGGGGAGGATAGACTGATAAAGGGTACATAGGTATTAGTTAAATAGAGTTAAGTGAAAGAAGTTTGGAGCATAATAAAAATGAAGAGAATTGGGAATCTAGGCAGTAAGGGAAGTTTTATGAAAGAATTCAAAATTATGTAAGTTTTTTCCTAAGATAAAACTTTATAGTTCATATAAAATGAATAGTATCCCCTTCATTAATAGAAGTAAAAATGCATTTACCATGTCAACCTCAGTAGTAATGCAAACGAATCCTAAATTCTTACAATCAATTGCATTATTTTTAAAGACTTATAAAACTTATGCAAGCACTTTAAGCAGATAAGATAACTTTACACTTTAACGTGTGTTATTTTAAAAATACTCCTTCTATTCAAATACATAAGAAAGCGCATGCTATTAGAGAAAGGGCACAACCAGGAATGGGAAACAAATTGATGGTTTAAATTCTAAAACTTCTGGGTATGTAAGAAGGGGCCAAATCATCCTAATTTTAGCAAGGAGATTTTTTGTTTTAGTCTGAAAATATTATCTAAAGAAATCAGGCCGACTGTAATCCTAGCACTTTGGGAGGCCGAGGCGGGTGGATCACCTGAGGTCAGGAGTTCGAGACCAGCCTGGTCAACATGGCAAAACCCTGTCTCTATTAGAAATACAAAAATTAGCCGGGTGTGGTGGCACACGCCTATAATCTCAGCTATTCGGGAGGCTGAGGAAGGAGAATCGCTTGAACCCGGGAGGCGGAGGTTGCAGTGAGTTGAGATTGCGCCACTGCATTCCAGCCTGCAGGACCTGAGACTCCATTTCATTCATATATGTATATATGTATATATATGTGTATATATGTATATATATATGTATATATGTATATATATTAGAAGGTAGACACAGGATTGGTGAAATAAAATATTAGGCTGTAGACTGAAGGCTTTCCTTCTCATAGGCTTCCATTCACATCTGATTTTGAAACTTTTAAGTTGGCAAGAGCTGTTGGTAAAGATCTCATTTTCACTATCTTAATGCAAAATTTTGGAGGAAATAAGTTTTTATGAATGGGCATGAGCTTCCCTTTTGAATGGAGTTTGTCACTTAGGAAGGACACCCTAACTGCTAGCAGTTTATGCTCCAGGGAGAGCTGCACACCTGGACTGGGGCATATTTGCAAATTTTCTATGTATCAGGCTCTAGCCTCCCTTTCGCAGACAGATCAATGGTATTTAGGACAGTGCCCTCCAATATTATGTATTCCTTTGACAGGACTGGAGAAAAGACTAGAAAGGCAGAAATAAGTATCAGAATTATAAAATAACCTAAATAATAAAAATAATAGAATGATAATAATCACAATCATCATAATAAAGCCAAAATTACAACTCCTCTCCCTCCTACTTCCAACATTAAGAAGTGTCAGTATAGGCTGGGTGCAGTGGCTCATGCCTGTAATCCCGGCACTTTGGGAGGCTTAGGTGGGCGGATTATGAGGTCAAGAGATCGAGACCATCCTGGCTAACATGGTGAAACCCCGTCTCTACTAAAAATACACACACACACACACACACACACACACAAAATTAGCTGAGCATGGTGGTGCGTGCCTATAGTCCCAGCTACTCGGGAGGCTGAGGCAGGAGAATTGCTTGAACCCGGGAGGTAGAGGTTGCAGTGAGCCAAGATTGCACCACTGCACTCCAGCCTGGGGGAGAGGGTGAGACTCTATCTTAACAAAAAATAAAAAAAGTGTCAGTATAGTGTTACGGGTTTTATATACATTATCTAATTAATAGATTGCAAGAAACTTAAAAAGAAAGTACTCTTGATTCCTTTAAGGCTTCACTGGCCGTAATAAGGAATAATACTTCCACTTGCTAGCTCCCTTCTGAGGAGACATCTGTAGAACAAGAGACAGGTGGGAGAGTGGCTACAGCAATTCTGCTGGACTGTATCTAAAGCCATTTAAATATATGATAAAGATTTCTTAGCTGTCAAGTAAATCTAGTCCAACAGCTTATCTATTTGATCATTTCATCTATTCCCATTACAGGCTGAGTATCCCTATCTGAAAATCTGAAATCTGAAATACTTCAAAATCTAAAACTTTTTGAAAGCTCACATAATGCTCCAAGGGAGTAACTCAAAATACTTCTGGCCCCAAGCATTTTGGATAAGCGATACTTAACCTGTATTACACTTCCTTAAATGCAAAAACAAAAAACAACAACAACAAAAAACACCATTCAATTTATGTATTTATGTTAAAACAATCTGTAATTCATGTTTCCCTAATTCCCTAGTTTTAATTTCACAGTAAGGTATTAAGATAAATTCATACTTTTTTTTTTTTTTTTTGAGACGGAGTCTCACTCTGTCGCTCAGGCTGGAGTGCAGTGGCACAATCTTGGCCCATTGTAACCTCTGCCCCCTGGGCTCAAGCAATTCTCCTGCCTCACTCAGCCTCCCTGTAGCTGGGATTACAGGTGTGCACTACCACACCCAGCTAAGTTTTGCATTTTTAGTGGAGACAGGGTTTTGCCAAGTTGGCTAGGCTGGTCTTGAATTCCTGACCTCAAGTGACTTGCCTACCTTGGCCTCCCAAAGGGCTGGGATTACAGGCATAAGCCACCACACCCAGCAGCCGGCTTCCTCCTTTTAATAAGCTAAATTGCAGAATGAAAGGCTTTGACTGGCAAAATAGCACTGTGGGATACATACCCATGTCTTCTGAGTGAGATCTGTTATTCTGTTACCATGCCACATTGCCTGCCTTTAAGTTTTTTGAGAAAATATAAGTTTATAACATAAATTCATACTTTTATAAGCTTCCTAAATGCCAGATAGACCAAATCTTCCCAGTAACAGTATACATTACAGATGCAAAAAGAAAATCCTATTGTCCTGAGGTACTTTGGCAGCTTTAGAAATATTTTATTAACTTAATTCATAAGCTGCTTTCTTCAAAATATGATAGGAAGTGGTTTACTAGCCATATTGCAATTCAAGCTGCAATGACAGAATTAGTACAAGTGGCATTATGGAAGCCTGCCCAGCTCAGACCTGCTCCCTTACCCTGTCGCCTTTATCACCTGGGCTTTCAGCACTTGCTCTAGCTCGGAAAGAGAAAACGACAGACGCACCAGTGCTCAGATAAAGGCTGAAATCCAGCTACAGCTCTATTTACTGTATAACCTGACTCCCTAGTGTCTGGCACTTATCCCAACTTTAAAAATAGACTTTAGTTACTTTCATCCATTTTATCATGCAAATGGATATAAATCCTGCTGAATGCAAGAAATTAATGACCTTCTCCTCACATTGAACTAGAAGATGGCAGGTGATGAAACCTATCCGCATTAGGACCAATGTCAAATATGCTGCTCTTGTCCCTTACCATTCAGGGAACAAGCTGGGACCAGAAAGGTTGGTTGAGTTTCCCATTATACTGAAACCTCGGGGTATTTTTCCCTCTTTTGGGAAAAGGAAAAAAGAAACAGACTACCGTGAATGTTTCAGAACTTCAAAAAAGTACTCGTTTGAGCTGGTTTCTAAATACATGAAAGGCCAGAGTCACATATGAGAATTTTAACGCTCTCTGTGGCTTTATTCTGATTCTCTTCCCTGCCAATTATAAAATAAGTAAATGATGAGGACTTCGGTTGCAAATAAACACCAGGAACACATGGCCTCTGCTGAGGCGAAGGCTCTCTCTGGCCCTGGAGCCTCAGCTCTCACTTCTTCCTGTCTGGAAGGTTCTGCCCACTCTGCCTTTCCTCCGGCAAAGCCCTAATCATCCTGCGGGATCCAGCTCAAATGTCACCTCCCCTATGAAATGTCACTCCCTTTCTCTGCTTTCCCTCCCATTAGAATCAATCACTCCCTGTAAACTGGCATAACCTTTCCGGAAGGCAAGCAGCAATATGTGTCAAAACTTTTAAAACATTCACTTCTAGCAGCCTTTATTGGGAAACAATGTGAAATGCAGACACATACTAACAGGCAAAAATAGTGACTACATCATTTCTAATAGTAGAAAATAAGAAATCATAAACATCCAGCAATGAGAAAGACTGGTTGATGGTTGTCACAAACCCATATGTTGAGGTATCCATGGGAGAGGCAGAGCTGACACTTTATTAGCCATACAGTTCCCTCATTAGTCATATGGGAATTATTGTGTAAGATGAGCAATTACCAAAATAAAGGGATGGAGGAAGATTTACCAAGCAAATGGAGAACATAAAAACCCAGGGGTTGCATTCCTAGTCTCTGATAAAATAGACTTTAAACCAAGAAAGATCAAAAGAGACAAAGCAGGGCATTACATAATGGTAAAAGGATCAATGCAACAAGAAGAGCTAACAATCCTAAATATATACACACCCAATGGAGCAACGGGGTGCATAAAGCAAGTTCTTAACGACCTACAAAGAGACTCAGACTCCCACACAATAATAGTGGGAAACTTTTACATGCCACTGTCAATATAGACAGATCAATGAGACAGAAAATTAATGAGGATATCCAGGACTTGAACTCAGATCTGGACCAAGCAAACCTAATAGACATTTACAAAACTCTCCACCCCAAATCCACAGAATACACATTCTTCTCAGCACCACATCACACCTACTCTAAAACTGACCACATAATTGGAAGTAAATCACTCCTCAGCAAATGCAAAAGAATGGAAATCAGTCTCTCAGACCACAGTGCAATCAAATT